ATTATTGTACGATTAGCAAAGGTGGGCAAAGCAAACCACCTTGGAGAAGACTAGTGACTTAGATCAGTGGCCCCCAATTTTTTGGGCACCAGGGACCGGTTCCATGGAGAAAGGGTTTTCCGTGGACCGGAGGAGGCATGGTTCTGTGTGCTGCCTACATCCCACAGATGAGACGTCACTTGTTTGTGTGGACCTGTTGCTGGTATGCCACGGACCGGGGATTAGGTATCCCTGACCTAGGTGAACAGAATTGGCCTCCACTACTCTTATGCAACTCGGTTGCACTTACTGGGAATGTGGCTTTTGATACCACTGAGTCCGTATCCTCATGAAATGGCTCTAGGCTAGAATATTTTTAAGCAATAGCTTAGTTATAGGGAGATTATAAATCAGCAGTTGCCTTGGGGCAGATTCATTGCTGGGTTTTTTTATAAAGTTTTAAAATGACTTTTAAGACAGCAATCCACAACTTTATGGCTTGGTGGTCTGGCCGAGGGGGGGGGGAACCGGCCCCGCAGCTTTCACAAGTGCAAGTTGAACTGCGCGCACATGCAGCCCGTTCCAAACAGACCACGGCCAGTAAGGGATCGTGGCCCAGGGGTTGGGGACCCCTACAATATAGTGTCCACCCAGTCATTTGCAGGGACTGGTGGTGAAAAAAAAACCATGCAAAGCTGCACCCAAAGTGAACTAGTTTTAGCTAAGTTTTTAAAACTGAACTGAAAACAATTTCCAAATTCTGCACTACTCGGAAGAGATCTGACTCATGTTAATATACAAATGTGTATATTCCAATGCAACATTTGAATACACAAATGCTGTAGACTTCAATGCCATGAAACATGGAATGACATTGCCAAATAAAATAATAGCTCTTGTTATATACAAAGCCATCATTTCCTTTTAAAAACATTTAACAGGACTCAAAAGGTAGAGAAAACAAAGAAATATGGCTCGTTTATACCACAATGTAAAAGACTTGAGGCAACTTTTTAAAAAATTTATGCTTTAGAAGTACGCAAAACAGTACTGTATTATATTAAGGAATCCACTGCTTGTAACTTGAGAAAAAGAACAGCATTTCCCCAGACCTAAAAGGATTCCTTGCTAAGCCTTAACTTTTCTTCTCATAGAAAGGTTGCTTCTGCCAGTCTTTTATTAATAGATTAAATCTCAATCTATGATTCTGGAACAGTGAGAAATTAACTACCTCTTACAGCCCAGTACTAAACAGATTTTTTTCCAGAGATAAATTTTGTAAAATTCATTGAATGTGGAAACTGATATAAGGAAGTCACTGTCACCCTCAAGCATATACACAACCTGCAGTATGAGAATAATATTGAATAATATTGATAAATTGCTCTCAAAGAGTTCTCACTTTATTAACTAGAGCTAACATGATATATGATTGGGTTGCAGCAAAGCTTAAACAAATGTTCCTTTCGATTGTGAAAGATTTGATGCTGTTACAAGTAGTTGCCTGTATTTGTATAGGTGATTTAGGTGTGCAACAGGAAACTGATTGCTCCATTAAAATTAGATCATTATTGTGAAGTGCTTTTAAAACATTCTTAAGCCCTACATTAAATAAATGTTACTAATTGTCTTAGAGCCTGTGGGCTGAGAGCCTTAATTTCTATGGATTCTGACTTCCTTTTTTGCTCAAAATTCAGCATCACATGGATGGCATGGCATAGGCTTTGAGAAATAGAAAATTAGTCTCTGGGCCTTTGTTATCTATGAAACATATTTATGAATCCATGGAAAAGCCTTATTGTCATGCAATGGTGGTAAAAAAATTTACTACCGGTTCTGTGGGAGTGGCATGACTTGGTAGGCATGGCAGGGGAAGGATACTGTAAAATCTCCATTTCCTCTCCACTCCAGGCTGAAGATTACTGCAAAATCCCCTTTTCGTCTCGATCAGCTGGGACTCGGGAGGCAGAGAATAGATGGGGGTCAGAGGTGGTATTTACCGGTTCTCCAAACTACACAAAATTTACACTACTGGTTCTCCAGAACTGGTCAGAACCTGCTGAATGCCACCTCTGTTGTCATGTAATAAACACACCATGCTTCATCACATTAAAGAGGCGATTTTAATTCTAGACAAGAACAAAATGACATGCAAGTGAAACCTGTGAATCAAAGCTTTCATGTGATTGACATCCAATAGTTTTTAAAACTTCATACATTGTTTGTTAGGGTAATTTAATAGAGGTATCATTTGTTACAACTACACTATTTTCAAAACTGATGCTGTACATTTCCTTCTTCAAAGAAAATCTTGTAATGGAAGACTCTAGCATCACACAGACACATACCTACAGTAGATGTATCTGTTACATACAGAATGCAAAATAAGGAAATGAATGCAAAGATAAATTGGACACAAGCTACTTCCCCTCTTCCTCCCACTTACAGACTGCTGCCAGGAAATCTTATTTGTGATAATAAAGAGCTTTCATTGAAGACACCTTGGGAAAGTTTCAGGGCTGACATAACACCACATGGACTTAATATTTAATATTTAATACTTAATATTTCCTGCTTCTGCTTCTTAGAAATATATGAACCTGTTTGAAATTCTGATATCTGAAGTGAAGAGGCATTTATCAAGGTTTTGTTCATACTGTGTTAAAAGCTCCTAAATGATTCCAGTCTCAGCTGGCTGGGTAAAAAATGTTATAGTGACAGAGAATGCTGATGACTCTATCTTTAGATTATTAAACAAAGTACGTTCATGCTAAATTATTCCAGCCCAAAATTTACTTGCTTATTGTCATTGGTGTCTGCATTTTTCCAACCCATTCATTTTCCCCCTCCTAGATTTTACAATTCTGATACAATGTTGTAATTATTTCTAGCAGTATTAACACTTTCTTTTACATCGCTGCCATATTCCTGTCATATAGCGTTCGCATTTGAATTCACATCACTTATATAAATATATCTCAAAATGTTTGAATGCTTTATTTCTACATTAGCAATACCATTTATGAACTCATTAATAAAACTGACCAACTATTTGATAACACTTTATATATTTAGTTTATATCACTTTTTTTTACAGTTGTGAAAGTCACAATTTGAACTTTAGAAATGAATGCAGAACTACAGATAATACTTGACTTAGTGGCAGTTTGAAGTGATGATGCACCCATGAACATTTGTCTGAAACGGTATAGGGTTTCCTGCCTAGGCAGGGGGTTGGACTAGAAGACCTCCAAGGTCCCTTCCAACTCTGCTATTGTATTGTATTAATTATTTTTTGTGGCTGAAGATGTTCTGCAAATTTAACCCATTTAACAAAATTATAATTCTAAGTAGTCTCTGAACCAAAAAAAAACAAAAACAAAAAAAACAGAGGGACTTGCAACCTGGTTTCAAAGTTCCAACATCCGCTCCACACTCTCAATCACGTCTGTGTTTTGTGTGCTCAGCAACCAGCCCACATTGACGGCTATGTGCAGTGCCTTGTGGTCATGTGACCGTGATTTATGACACTTTTGCCAGAAATCGGCATTTACTTCTGGTTTCCAACGAAAAAGGTCCCAAAGTAGACAAATCACTTCGCATAAGGACTGTGGCATTTGCTTAATAACCGTTCCAAAACAAGGTAAAAATGAGTCACCTGATGACTCATGACTGTCATGGCGTACAACTGTAATCCCTAAGGTCAATTACAGTCATATGACAAGGACCACCTGTATTGATGTTGTGGAATAGAATTATTGGCTAGGAGCTAATAATCATGAAGTACAGTATATCACAGAAGTGAGTACACACCTCACATTTTGTAAATATTTAAGTATATCTTTTCATGTGACAACACTGAAGAAAGTATGTAGAAGATAATCTCTAAAGGTACCTGGATAGCTGGTTGACTTCGATCTGACCAAGCAGATCAGTTAATAGAGATTAATTACAGGGAGTAAATATCATGCCTTGATAACTGGGTGATAAAATTAAAGAGACTGCAGCAGGCTCCAGTTCCTTCTTTTAACAGCAAAAGCAAGCGATTTTTCAGACCAAAAGTGTTATCGGCCTGTAGCAAAACCAGAGAACATTTTTTACCACCTGTCACTCCAAAACTGCTTTCAGAGCCAGAGAAAGTGATGGCAGAGTTGCCTTCTCATCCACACTTGGACCGAGCTGCCCCTTGCACCTTTTGATCCCGCCTTCTGTTGAACCTCTTCATGTAGCTGTTGCCTCTGCAAAGGAGTCCGTCTCCCGGCCGCAGACGGCCTCTCACCAGCCCTTGCAGAAGCGAAGGCAGTTGCCTTCTTCGGTGATAGAGGTGACCCATCACAATGTACCTGCCACCTGCAAAATAAGAAAAGCTACATCTCAGAAGGGTCTCTGGAACACGATTGTCTCCAAGGAGAATAAGTTCACCCATTTCTGATTTAAGGCTCTTGCCAGTAGAAAGTCATATCCTCCAATCCTTCTCTCTGCAACATTTTCTTCCTTCAATCCTAATGGTAGGAATTAAGGTAAACATCACAACTCTTCATTCTGAACTTCTTGGGGCCATACAAAACCAGGCTGCATAATCTGCATAATCACTGAAGACAATGGAACATTTCCATAAGGAACTTCATCTCCGTACTAGGCCTGTCATTTCCCATTAATTACATGGCTTGTTAGTATACTCCGAATGCAGCGGATTCCATTGGATGAAGAAGAGTTGGCTATCTTTCTTGTAGCCCTTTTGGGGACAGTTTCTGGAAATATTTATTGTACTCCCTGCCACTGAGTCTAGTTTAGTTTGGGTACATCTCTGAGAGGCCCTTTCCCTTACTTGCTGCCAATTAAAGATGTTAAGGCTTGCAGTAGAACAAAAAGAGAAGAGAAGAACAGTTTATTTGTTGTTCTTTGACCCAGATTCATGAATAACAAGGATGTATTTCCCCTTCAACCTCTATCCTCTTTTCCTTTTGCATTGTTTCTTAAATTACAAGCATGCAAGAAAATAAGGATTTGTCTTACTGACCAGTTGCATGTAGACACTGCATATTCTAATGATCCTTCCTTCCTTCCTTCCTTCCTTCCTGCCTTCCTTCCTTCCTTCCTTCCTTCCTTCCTTCCCTTTTGCCCTCCCATTCTTCCTGATGGCCCTGAGCTAGGCTGTGTCAGACTTGAGAAGGTTGTTTGGTTGGGGAGTTTGGGCAATTCAATTGTCCATATATCCTTAAATTGTGAAGGTTGAGAAACACTAATCTAGAGAACAAGTGCTTACATGCCCAATTCAATGTGATTTGAGGGGGATGAGAATTACAGAAAAGGCCTTCCCAGTCGTACTTATTATGTGGAATACTATACATTGCCCTTGGTGATATGCTTGGCCTCTTGTACTTGACCTTTTCAGAGCTTCTAAAGAGACATTGAGACTTGGGTGGCATATAAGATAGAGAGGGAGAGACACAGAGATGATAGGTTAAATGGATGATAGGAAATGATAGAGATAGATGATAATAGAGATAGAAATAATAGCGATAAATAGGATATAGATGATAGATGATAGATAGATAGACAGACAGACAGACAGACAGGCAGGCAGGCAGACAGACGGATGATAGGAGAGAGAGAGAGAGACAATGATAGAGATTAGNAGCCAAAGGATCAGATGTGGCCCACAGGCCATAATATGCTCAGGTCTGTTTGAGACACATTCCTAGCGAAGGAAGGTCAGTTTCATATATCTTTTCTCTCGCACAGTGGTTATAAGGGATTGGAGGCAGAGTTGTTTTGTTTAAAGATTGGGAACATCTGCTAGCAAAGCAGCACCCTCCCCCCCCAAGTGTTGCTGTAACATCTGACCATGCTTCTTAACGTTTCCTCTGTGGAAATAAGTGATTCCAATGAGAATCAGAATAGGAATCATACAAAGAGAAGGTTGCAGCTGAACTGACAGTAGATTATCTTTTATTCCTTTCTCACTTTTGCTTTCTTATCAACATTAAATTGCTTGGCTGCAACTTCCACTACATGATGGCCCCTGAATTCTTCATTTGCAGATAACTGATAGCTTTAGATGAACTTCTAGCGAGACTCAGAATGGAATGACTATAACCTGTCATACCTTTTTTTTAAAAAAAAATTAGACCGTATTAATGCAGAAGCAATTGCTTACTAACAGCCATAGTATAAGATGATGGTCAGACATTTGAAAGTCCAATAATAGTAATAAAGCCAAGGTGTTACCAATTGTATCCTTAAAGCAAAGTTTTCAAGGAGAATAATTGATTACCATAAATGCTGTTCCACCAACAATAAACATTATCCTCTTCCCCAAACAAAGTTACTTGCGGACCTGCTCTTTATCTGTGCATCCCTCAGAGCATTATGGGGTGTTTTCAGATGTTAGAGCTGCATATCGTGTGAGTTCAGATCTGCCTCTATGAAGGTGGCAAAAGCCTTGCTTTGTAACTCTTGTTGGTTTCTAAAAATTGGAAAAGGGAGCAGCAAATTGGGTGCATTCCCCACTGAGTAGTTGGATTGGAGTGCCTGCTTCGGTGAAGGTTTTGCTTACTTGTTCCCTTTTCTGCATCCTGCAGGTCTCACAACAACAAACTACAGTCGACAGCTTCTTAAAGTTTTACGTGTTATTGTACCACAAACCGCAAGAATCTGGTTGCCTGGATTTTTTTTTTAATTGGGGAGCCAGAGCTTTTTAGTCAGGGTGTCCTGGCAAGTCTTGATGTAAACTGTGTTTTTATCAGTCACATCAGATTTATATTCTTGGCTAATTTTGTCCAAAGGACGAAAGAAAGAAAATCAGCAGCATCGTTTTCTTGTCAAGATTGAATTGTGTTGTTGTGGCAGAAACAGGGAAACATTTTGCTGAAGGACAGGAAAGAAAACAAGCAAGAGAAAACAAGATAACCGTAAAATGGGGTCAAGTTCTAACTCCATGGAAATGCCACATCTGTTCTTCAGTGAAGAAGCTGGTTTATAAATTCCACACAGAGAACTTTAGACTGTATTTATTTATTGTTGCAAAAGGACGCTTTTTTATTGCTGCCCTCATTTGTCAGCTGATGATTTCCCCCCTCTCCCCCCCCCTTATAAATCCAGTCCTGGTTGTATGTTACCCATTCTGTATCTTACCATGATTCCTGTAGGTAAAAGTACAAGATGACCTCTAGATGTCTTTTCTTTCTATGAAAGGAGCTGCTATGTACACATGTGCACAAACCAACTGGGAATCAACATTGAGTTTATCGTTCGCGGTAGAGGAAACCAATTAAGCTTGCATAAGTTGGGCGAAGTGGTCATGGACTACAGACTTTGTTGCCTTGAATATAAACAGTAGAATATCATTTACTCTACAACGGACTGATCTGAGTAAAATCTATTTGAAGGTATCTTGTTTGTAAACATTTGTCAGATTCTAACTTTTTTTTTCTTTTTGTATTAAAAAAAATTCAAAACATGGATGTATATGAAATAAATAAATGGAGATCATTGTTCTCTCCACATATGTAGGTGTCGTTTGAATGTTCACTAACATGTTTGTGAGGTTTGTTCTTATGTGTAAGATCCTCAGAGTACAGAAGGGAAACATGGAAAAGGGAAGGAGGAACAAGCGGCCCCAAAAGTGATTCTATTTGTTTTCAATTGACTATAATAAAATTCTTCTTCAGCAGCAGTTGGTTTCTGACTATTACACCTATTTTAACTAGATTTTGCACTAATTCAGAATTTTTGCCCTTCAATGATCTGGAATTTATCTGATTACGGATAAGCTTCCCTTGGGTTTAACCTCACCCTGCTATGCAAAAATCTTTTCTGTTAATTTTATTAGACATTGCTGTCGTTCACACTTTTCTTATAAGTACAGGCTCAGGTGTACAGATAATATAAGGTTAATTTTCTCTAAGAAAGCTTCTGCTTTTGTACATAGATGCTATCATTTAATCCATATGAATTCGAAAGGAAGTTAATGTTCATTGTGAGACCATCCATTTATGTTTCTTAGACAGTAGGAAGAAGAGTATTTGTGTGTTAGGGTATATTGTCTTAGGACTTTTTTTCAAAGAGATGCTACATACTGTATGCATTATGTTTATAAAAGAAGGACTTTTCCAAAATTAATCCTACCAATACTGTCTCTTCATCATATTTCTTTATTATTCATACTTATGGCTGACCTTGAAAAACCATGAACTTTCCTACTTATAGGCAATAGATCATTGTTTTTAACAGATTGTGACAAACAGAAAAGTAACTCTTTTTGTACATAATAGGACATTTCATCTTAGACAAAAATAAAATAATGTTGGACCTCAGATTTGGTGGAGTTCCTAATGAAACATCATTTGTTTAGAATAAAATATGTAGCGCTTGGCATTGCCATACTGTGCAGAAATTCTTTGAAGTTTTTCATATTAATTATGAATGAGGAAAATGCTACTTTCATACACTTTTTACCAAGCCTCATCATTTTTCCTACTGCTTTGTAATATATGAAGACAATTCTTAGCTGTACCAACTATGGTAATTTTTAGTTTTTTGAAAAACTTTATTTATGAGCCAGTGTAATGTGTGTACATTTTAAATACCACTTCTGTAAAAGGAATAAAGAAATTATACTTTACTCAGTTTTTAAATGAAACAATGTGCAGAATACTTTTTTTCTGATCACTTCATGCCTCATTAAAATCACTCACTGGGTATCAAGTGTCATGAACCAAATGAGCTCAATTTTTATTCACAGTTCCTCAGTCAAATGGAAATATTTGGTGTTACAGCTACAAACTTCCAAATACTCATTTACTGCTTTGTTTTTGTAATGAGACGTAAGTTGGAATTGTACTGCCTTGAACAGCTGCAAAATATTTATACCACTATTGGCAAAATGCTCAGTTTAAACGGGATAAGGTAAGAAAGCTCTCCAGAGCAATTGCTATGCTCTGAATGCCTAAACTGGACATATGATTAATCCTTTATTTTAATGTTTGATTAAATTAAAACCATTAAATTGGAAAGCATTTTATCCAGCAAATTATTTAATATGTGACATGCTTAGATACACAATAGTTTAAAAGTTTTATGTCACTATAATTTTCTCTCAGAAACACACACACACACAAATGCACATACTAGCTTTGTTGAAATGTTTCCCAATGTTTTATTAATGATTGCTACTCATTTTAACAGAAAATAATATTCTCTTGAGTTTCTAGAATCCTTTTATATTGTGAACAAAGCACATGATAGTGTATGCAATCTATACATTCTCATTTTCCTCCTATTTAAATCAGGGATGGATTCTTTCACACAACTAACATAGCAATCCTGGCTTATCACATCCTTCAACGTATCGTTGGTCTACAAAGCTGATTTTGGAAGTAGCCAGCCTGGATAATAAGCTAAATAATTTCTGGCTTGCATATTTAGCTGGCCACACTAGCAGAAGAAGCCAAGGCAAGAAGCAATCTCTTTGGACGGGAAGATTTTACAAATTATTGTACGATTAGCAAAGGTGGGCAAAGCAAACCACCTTGGAGAAGACTAGTGACTTAGATCAGTGGCCCCCAANTAGCCACTTTAACTGTGAACGTTTGGAGATGGGAGGGATTAGGAGGGAATAACTCCTCTGCTATCTCCTCAATCTATTCTTACAAAAGCCTCCAAGTTAAGATAACCTTTTTTGTCATGTCTTTATGGTGAGCACACTGGCTGGCATCTATTAAAAATGAAATGGTGTTGTTTGCTCTCAAGAGAAAGTATATGTCTACTTTGAAAGAGCCAAAGCCGATGTCATTTCCATGTTGCTTAAGAGTGAACACACTAATTGTGGAGCCTAAAGTAACCAAGGAGGAGCTAAATTAATGAAGGTAGTGAGAAGGTGCAGCCACCAGAACTGAGAAATGGGGAAGCTGGGGAGGGATATAAACAAAAGAAAAGGCTTCTTAGTTGCTGTTCATCTTTTCTTCTCAGCCCTCAAGGGGGTTCCATCAAGAAACGCTAAGCGGGTGCCCTAAAGATAGGAAATCGACTTTTGGCTTGACCCTCATCATTCACACATCCACGCAGCCTGCGGTCACTTCCAGGAGGCTGCACCCAAGCAATCCAGAAGGAAAAGCCTACCCCCTCGACTCCCACCCACCCCACTCCCCCTAAGGTTTTTGCACCCCAAGGAAAACCTTTCAGCTCTGGCAGACAAAGCGGCAGCAGGGCCCTCTCCCTGCCTGGTTCTTCCCTCTCGCTCATCTTGATGATGTTGTTGCAGCTGCCAGGCACGGCCACAAGGAGGTAGCCAGAGCTGCTCTGAGGCAGCCCAGTGGGCGAGCAAGCGAGCAAGGATCAGGCTGCATAATCCTCCACTGCTCGCTCGCCTGCCCGGACCGCCTCAGTGCTGCTCTAGTTATCTTTGTCTGGCTGCGCCCAGCAGCTGTGGCAACATTATCAAGACAAAGTGCCTTGGAGGTGAAGGGGCCTCGGTATTCTGCTTATATGGCAGTGGGGCCCTCTCCCAGCCAGGCTCTTCCTTCTTCCTCTTGATAATGTCTCTGCAGCTGCTGGGTGTGGCTGGACGGAGGTAGCCAGAGCCACACCAAAGCAGCCCAGTGGGCGAGTGAGTGAGCGAGGATCAGACTGCCTAATCCTCCATCACTTGCTCACTCATTTGCCTGCTGGACCACCTTGGCGCCATTCTGGCTACCTCTGTCTGGCCACACCCGAAGCTGTGGTGACATCATCAAGACGAAGTGGCTTGGAGGCGAAGGGGCCCCGGTGTTATGACTAAGCAGTAGTGGGGCCCTCTCCCAGCTGGACTCTTCCTTCTTGCTCTTGATGATGTTGCTGCAGCTGCCAGGTGCAGGTGGGCAGAGGTAGCCGGAGTGGCGCTGAGGCAGTCCGGGCGGGCAAAAGAGAAAGAGAGCAATGGAGGAGCCGAGGAGAGCAGGAGAAGAGTGTGAAGTCCAGCGGAGGCAGGAAGGTTCTCAGCGCTCCAGAAAGCCACGCACCTTGGTTTAGCCTCCCTGGAGCCGCGCACCTCTCCCAGCAAATTTTGCGGCTTCCTGGGGCGCTGAGAACCTTCCTGCCTCTGCTTGACTTCGCACTCTTTTCCCCACTCTCCTCACAACTGCAATAGATGTCCAGAAGCGGCTTTTGGGGCTAATGGGGCTTGGGCTTCCAGCCCAACAGCCCCCACCACTTCTGGACGTCTATTGCAGTTGCAAGGAGCTGAGGAGAGCACGGAGAAGAGCGTGAAGTCCAGCAGATATAGGAATGCAAAAACAACGCCTATTACTCCCTTGCAAGGGGAGCGAAAGAAACCGCCTGGGTCTCTGCTCCCTGCCTCACCTGTCTGGAGCCACCGAAAGCTTTAGACTCTGGTGGTGGTGCTGGTTTCCCACCACTTTGCATTCCTGAAAAGCGACTCTGCATTCTCCCTTTCCTTCGCCCCTCCTCCCTTCAAAATCTGTGAGGTGCTTTCTTAGCGCCAGTTGCCCAGATGGCATAGCCCCGTGCACGTGCCTCCTCCTCTCCCCTCCTCCTCCTCCTCCTCACTCCTCAAAGGCTCTTCTTCTCCTTCCTGGAGCTCAGCAGGAGCTGGGCACAAGGGATGGGAGGCTGCTTTTGAAACCACACCTTGGAAAACTTTGCCGGGAAGGGAGGCAGGAAACCAGTTGCCCTGGAATGCCCCTGTGACCATGCTTCATAGGCAAGTTCGGGGAGGTCCTAGAAGGCCGACCAGCCATGAAAGCTACTGCCCGTGAGCGGTGATGGAACAGGTGGGGGAAGCGAGTGAGGGGGGTGGGGCAGGTGCTCCGTGAGGAATGGGTTCTAACCAGTTCGGTAGATTTGTGGAACCTCTTCTACCAAACTGGTTAGAACCGGCAAGAACCCACCCCTGGTTTTTGCAAATACGACAAAAGGCTTTGTAAAGGGAGGGAGGGAAGGCCTTCCCCCCCCCCCTTTGCTGCATATCTTCCAGTCCTCCATCTGCAGAGAACCTAAGGCCTAAGGTACAGGGAGATCAGGTGAGATCAGTAGCATGAGATGCTGTGCTACTGATCTTGTGTGTGAGATCTTGCAATACTTTAGGCCTCCTTTCTCTGCAAATGCACTGAAGACTTGAAGCACCTAACATGCCAAGAAACCAAAGGCTCACTAGATCTTGACAAGGTGAGTATTCACAAGTGTATTGGCTGTGGAGATCCAGTTGGAGGGGGCAGAATAGGCAGGGCGGATGTTGCAGAGCCTCTGTGGTTATTCGCAAATCTGAATGACTGCTGTGGTACTGCATCATTTGTAATTTCGGGACTGNCAGATCTAAGCACCCCGCTGGCTGGATCCTTCCCGCAGGCCTTGAGTTTGTCACTCCTGATGTAGAGCAAGCACAGATCTGGGAGTTTCCCTCCCAGATATGCCAAATGTTGAAGGTGTACCACAAGGAATGTTCTGGCATCTTTCAGCTAAGGCTTCATTATTTGCACAAAGTTTATTTAAAAGAGGGAGGGGGGGCAGCCCTGCAGTGGTCACACAGGAGCATGAAGATCTAACATTTTTCCCTGTTTGTGTTACAAATTAAAAACACAATTTATAAACAAAATTGTTTCTAAAAAAAGAAAACTGGATGTCTAGGGAGCATCCGGGGAGCAGGGTTCACATCGTATCCGGGTCTCATTGTTTAAATGTATCTGACAAACATGATGTTTAATTTTCCCATCCATGAGAAGCTTTGTGGAGGTTTGTTGACAATGTCATTTGCGTTATTTAAGGCCTGTCACCAGCTTTGCATGGGTGATGCATAATTATTTAGACTTAAAGGCAAAAACAGTTGTTCAAATACTCTCCAAAAGACCTTGGATCTACCTTGGATCATGTTTATTTAGGTGGTATATTTACGGGTGTGACATCTAAAGCAAGAATGTTTAAGATGGCGCCGCTAATGAACTTGAATTTATGGAATATGCAGCAGGATTCTCAGTTTCTAAAACTACCACCCTTAAGTTTATTTTTTCCTATTTAATTTGTATATAAGTTTTAAATTAATGTCTTGAAATTTGTCTACTTTCACATAGCTATCCTAAGCAAATTAGATAAATTATAAACTTCTTCAACTTGGTGGGTTTTTAAAAAAAATTCTTGTAGCAAGCTACCTTATTTATTTGCAACAAGCATGGGAAAGAGGGTAATCATGAAATGTGGTTGACAAAGCAAAGAATGATTATAATGACTACCAGTTTCATGTTCCACACATCAATTTCTTTAACCAAGTGTTTCAGTACATTGAAGCTGAGATTTTCCCAGGCAGAAGAACAAATGGTGGTTGCCTCAAATTCCAACTTTCCTTTCCCACCTGGGATGCCATTTGTCAGCAAATAGAATTTTTGATTCTAAATATATATATATATAAGCATATACACAAACAAACCTTACATGGTTGGTTCGGGGTTCCTATGGCTGATTCTGATGGTTGGTTCAAGTCCACTTCCCAAGTCTCCTGTCTGTTGACTTCATCATTTATTTGTCTCTTTCCCATGACAACAGCTGGCGCAAACAAAGATTGCCCGGTTTCGCCTGTGAAAAGCAGAACATTGCCATGAAGTGAAGGAAGATTAATGTGGAGATGTGGAGAGTTCAGTGCTGCAGGCAGCTTTT